TATTATCTCCATTTTTCATCCTATCATTTTCTTTCCTCCTCGTTTCCTTTTATGAGCCAAGGACTGCATAAGGGAGGACTATGTATTTAATTATAGGCTGAGTATCAATACTATTCTATAGCGGTTCAAATAGGTTTAGATCGCTACAAAATTTGATTATTGTAGCATTTTTTTACTAGAAGCACTACAATTTAGTACTTAATTTTTTTTAAATTTTTTTACATATGTATGTACTCAACTTTTGAATAGTAAAATGAAAATGTCTCTTAATAAATAAAATATAAAATTTTAATTTGTAATATCCTGATTTCTTAATCGAGAATTTAGAGTGATTAGAGTGGGATTTAAGGTTTCATTTGAAGATTTGGATAGAACCAGATAGATAGGGGACCACCTGGGTGGGACATTTTAGGAGAATTTAGAATTATAGTCTTGTCCACCTATAGTCAAGGTGGTGAAGGCTCTCAACCGCTTGTGGATAGAGACAAAGGGAAAGTTGTGTCGCCTACAATTGTGACCGCTCATAGATGAGCCACATTATAAGTTCATCCACCAGTTGATACAAGGGTAAGGGCGGGATCGTGCTAGTTTAGGACAGAATTCGAAACATGATTAAGAAATAGAAAATGGAACAAAGAAATGTAGAGAAGAAGATATGATAATGAATGAAAGTAAAGATAAACAAAATGATAAAGGAAGATAATGATCAAGGAAAAGGAAAACTAGAATACCTGCTTCTAGCAACCTTAACCTTCGAAATACTACAAGAGTTGATTAAACTCTTGATCACGCTAGTATTCACCGATTCCCATAAGCAAGCACGGCTCGCACAAAGAGTTTTATCAAACCCAATAGAATTCTCATTCATAACTTAGTTAGAAGAGTACATAAGGGGGCCTACTTATAGGCAAGATAATAGAAGACTCAAGAATCCCTAACCCTAGATAACTCCCTCCATAATGGGCATCATCTGCTCAAAAAGGAAGATTCCTTATTTCTTGGAGATTCAATAATAATGGATAGATGAGAGAATTCAAAAACTTTACTAATAACTAAAGTCTTGCTCCCTAAGTCAAATCACCTAATAAAACCATAATAATGAAAAGGAATCAGCATTAAAGCTGAAGATCAAAAAGGAAAACAAGTAAGTCTTGAAATTCAAACTTAGAACAAAATAGGAAATAATTCGAATTTGCATTGAAGACTTGAAGATGATGGAGATCACACCTTCTCTCTCCTCATTTATGATCATAAATGGTGCCTTCTCCTTTTACAAATCTGATCATAAATGGCATCTCACTTGACAAAAATACCCCTCAAGCTTATTTAACATATGGTGAATTAAATAGGCTTGGGTATTCGTTAATGGGCTTGCACCTTCATGGACTTAGATCTTTAATATTGTAAGCAAGTATGGACCTTCTTCAATAGGCTTGTTGGATGTATGAAGCTCATTAAAGAACATGGGATCAAGCTCTTAGACTTCTTTAATGAGATTAGTTAGGGTCTCCTTCATAGCTTTGGTTCGGGCTCTAGTCATTAGGCCTCCTATGCTTTGCAATGGATCCTTGGGCACACTAGACTTGAACTCTTGGACTCCCTTTAGGCTTGGCATGCCTACTAGCTCCTCTTGGGCCTTAAGCATGTCTTCTTTCTCCTTATGTGGGCCATGCTCTATGCGTGGTCCATCACCAGTGGTTGAAAGTGTTTATAATGTGTTTGATTACCTATGGTTGAATGCACTAAACTGTTTTATAAATACAGCTCTAATATCATTTTTTGGAAGAGGAGAGAGAGGATTATAGAGAGAGACTCTACTAGGGCTTGGCATTTTTAGAGCATTGGAGCACGATTTTGAGTCTCCCAACCCTCTAGTAAGTGATTTCTTGCTCTAATATACCTCCCTTTTATGATTTATCAATGGTTTGAGGATTTTGTTGAATTGATAGGGTTCAAATTTACTGACATGTTGACTAATTAATCTTAGTTTATACATTGTAAAGGAACTTATAAGAGACCTCTAGGTGATTTGATGAGCATATTTTGTTAGTTTGAGGATTTCGGATGGTATAGGGTAAACACTACAATCAAAAGATTTAAGGATTTTGATGATGATTTTGGTCACAAAAGGATTATGTGGACTAATTAGTATTGAGAGAATAATGTGATCGGTATAGATATTGTTGTATGGATTTTCTAGTACTTTCGAGAAAATTATAGGAATTGATTAAGGAACGTATATAGGTAAATAAGATTAACTATGTGGTTATGTGAGTAATTGAATAATTTATTTGTGGCAGGAGGATGTTGGGAATTATTTGGCATTTATGGGGGAATTATATGGTCATGTAGATTTATCTCGATAATCGCCTCTCTTCGGTGGAAGATTTTTCTTAGGTAACGTTTGTGGTTGTTTTTGCTTGGTGAGAGATAACCATATTTATCTTATCTCACATGCCGATTTCATTTTAGAGCTTACTTCCATATAAATTTATCTTCATTTTAAATCTCATGTTTTATGAGAAAATGTAGAGCAGTTGGATGATAGTTATGATCTTTATACTTGTTAAATGAGCTTGGCTTGAACAAAGGATATATGGTGATCATATATGTACAGTCACGAGGAATGTGTTAAATTTATATATATGGACTGGATTAAGAGTTTTATCGATGAATAACTTGATGATTGTTATTTGTGATACTGTATTCATAAGTATACTTAAATGGATTCTAACATATGAACATGATGACATATCTATCGAGTGATTTAGTTGTTGCTAGTATAGTGAACACGCGCATTCTATGGAATCCGTTTGATTATTATTGTTTATGTTATCTGAAATGCGCAATGGTTATGATGTGGAGTGGAGATAGATGGGAGATGATGGTGATGATGATGAGATGATATTTTTGATCGCATGGTCTACCACCACAAGACGCCTAATGGTTGGCTTTTATACTTAGGGCCCTTGGTATTTCTCCTTTCTTTGGCTAGGATTGGAGTTATCCCTTGGGAAATATGACACCTCTCTATGGAGTTTGTAAAGAGATGGAACCCATGGACCAGTGTTAGGCTCTGCACCTTTGGCTAGGTCCAATCCCTTTATTAGTGAGCTTGGTGAGGTCCATTCACATGGACGGATCCTATTATTATTTGATAGCCCATGAGTGTTTTGTGAATTTAAAATCATCCCATCTGCCATAGTGAACTAGGCTATTCGTCGTGATAGATGACCCAAAACAAAAACCCTTACTTGAGCCCATTAAATTGGGCCCAAAGTGATTCAAAAGGCCCAATTTTAACACCCATATAAGGTCCAATAGACCCAAAAGGTCATCCAAACTTCCTAATTAATTCCCAATTACTTTAATGGACTAATTAAAACTCTCAGTTAATTTAATTAATCTTTAAAGAAAATTTTGGAATGTTATAGAAAAATACAAATTAGCAAGCAAATGCAAATTAGCGAGAGAATTTAGCGAGGGAATATCTATTCCTTTCTAAAATACCAAATTAGCAAGGAAATTAGGAAGGGATGTTGATTTTGTAGCTTGGCTTTAAATTAGCGAGGAAAATAGTAAGAAACTGTCAATTCCTTTTTAAAATAAGATAATTAATAATGAAAATAGCAAGGAACTATCAATCCCTCTCTAAAATAAGATAATTAATGAGAAAAATAGCGAAGAACTGTCAATCCCTCTCTAACATAAGATAATTAGTGATGGATTTAACAAAGAATTCTATCCCTAGCTAATTATTGCAAAAAAATATTTAACTTTTGGCAATGACTTTTAATTATATATTTTATTATTTTCATTTAAAAATATAAGTTATTTTAATCTTTCAAAGTGTAATCATTATCTTTTTTCTAAAAGTATCTGTATTGGCAATGACTTTATATTTATTGTAAGATGTTTAATAGGGTAAATATGAAAAGATAAGGTTAATTTAAAAGTAGGTAACTACTTTATTGAGGGTGAGATTCAGTTAAAAATGCCTTACATTTTTTAACGAAGGGAGTATAATATAAAGAATAATTTAAATAAAACATAAATATTTTTTAACATATTAATAATTGAAAATAAAATTTAATATATATGTGTGTGTATTTTTATTATATATTATTTGATATATTTATGTAGTTATATAATATATATTTAATTTCTCATATAATAACTACATGTTCCTTTCAATTCAATTGACAAAAAATGAAAGCATAAGACTTGAAAGAAAAGAGGTCAAGAGTTTAAGTCTTGGTTTTGGTATAAACATAATGAATATGTGATATGGTAAGGGCAAGCGACATGTCACAAGTTGATGCACACATAACTCCCATAAATATGTGATATGGTAATGAATATATGATTTTTAAATATAGGCATATTTATTTTTCTAGTAGTGCATAGAGAAAAAATAAGTGCTCCCATAGTTTTTTGTAGTAGTGATTGAAATGGTCCGCTCAATCAACAAATTAACCTCACAGATCTTCATCAATTGCTCATCATCATCGGCTCATCACAATCCTTGGAGGCAACCATTGCAAGTCTCCATCTGCTACAGCGCAATCAAGATGAAAATCGAAACTGACTAAAAAATCTTTTTCATTCCTCTAATCCCAACTCTCCACCCTTCCACCGATCACCATTCTTCCCAAATCAGCGTCAAACAATTCAAACGCCCCCACTCACACACCCTAAACCCAACACACACAAGCACGTTAGCCAAAGCCAGCACCCCCAAACCTGTGTCGAGGGAAGGATGCCGACGAGGGCATCACTCCGTCTAGTGGAGAAGCCTCTGGAACTCAGGGAAGGGTTAAAACCCTAGCATAGCATTCTCTGCAGAACTCTCAATTATGTGTGGTTTAATTAAAAGGAATATATATAGCATTGATTTTTTTTTTATTTCTTTTCAAAACTAGGATCTCTGAAATTGATTGAAAGAACTATAAGTTATAGGAAAAACTTTTAATGACATCAACGAAAACATAAGAAAGGGGTAAATTGGTGAATTTCGACTTTTCATCCAATATATATAATGTCTGTAAAACTCATTTACGTTACATTGAAGAGCCACCAAGTGCAAGCTCTTATTTTACTCCAAACAAATTCCATGTACGTAGTAGCACAACATTAACACCAACACAATCACTTCAAAGGGAGATGAACCTCTTCATTTCCATATCATTCCTTTCTCTCTACTTCCCAATCATAACTATTGATATCACTGCATTAAATGAATTTGTTTTAGTCATAGATTTAATAAATGATGCATGGTTATGATTAGAGAAATGGAGAGAAAATGATAATAAAAAAATGGAGAGGTTAGATCTTCTCCCCTCTTAAAATTCTAAGGAGTTAATAAGCAATATTTTTATTTATTAAAGTGATGAAATGAAGTGAAAGGATATTCCAAGGGGCTTAAAAGTCTTATGTCGAAGACACTACCCCTCCTTCCTTATGTTCTTGAGTTCCATCTTTCTTCTCTACCTCCTCATTCAATATTGCTATAAGTGTTACATGGAACGTCATCGCTTTCTCCTTTTGAGGAAGTCCGACTATTTTCTTCAAGAAAGTACCAACAAAAAATCCATGTCACTATCATGAGCCACAAAAAGTTAATAAAAAATTTAAAATATTTAAGTAAAATTATTGTGGTCAAATTTTATTAGTAGACCCCAAGCAAAAGCTTCGTTGCCACTTACATAATCATCAGTCCCAAATTATAAGATATTTTTTGAAAAGATTCAATATTTTAAAATATATGACACTTTGACAAAAGTAAGGTTTCAATATAATGACATTTTTCCAATATCACCATTCTCATTATATTCTCTCTCTTTAATATTCTTACATATATGGAATATTAAACGAAGGGCATTATATTTTTTAAAGTTTATTTTTTTTTTTCAGAAAAGTTAAGTTGTAAAGTGTATATTATGAGCTTTATTGATATATGTAATTTTTTTTAAAATATCTTATAATTTGAGACGGAGAAAGTACAAGTTTATTAGTCAAACTATAAGTATTTACCATTAAATTAGTGCTAATTGTGCAAATCAATTACACTATTTAATTATCACATAAATTCACAAGTTGAACTATAAACATTTTAACATTAGGGTTCCTTGAAAATAAATATTTTCTAAATGTGGCCCTTGAGAATATTTTTCCCAAGAAATTATAAGTTTTCCCATGTGCAAAAAAATAGTTTCTAAGGAACTCGAGGGAAAGTAAGTGTATGCAGCTATAACTTGTTCTTGAACATGACAATTTCTAAATATAAAAAAAATAAAAAAATCCATGATCCAAAATGTTGACATGCATATTAAAATACTTACCCTCCAATTGTTTGGCATATCTTGTGGACAAAATTCTGGTCCGATTTTCAGTTCTCTCGTTCCTTCGATTTTCATACCACGAACTCCCTCATCAAGTCCTGCATGAACTTTTTCATTATCCTCGCTTTGTAAGATCAATATGTCTTTTTCAAGTTTTAGATTCTGCTTACTCTTTGAAATTTAAAAGAAGTACGAATACTTGAGGAAATTAAAGGAGAATAATAATCAACCATAGAATCAATGAAGTCGCTATAAAAATAATTTTAATTGCTCATTTTTATTGTTTTACAATTTTTAATCGCAATCTTATGGAATACCAAAAGCTAATTATATCTATCTATCCATCTTGGAGTTCATACCTTGGCCATATGTGTGGTCTCTGGCCCCCAGCGTCAGGTCAAAAGGGCCTTTTTCATCTTCAACTTTACCGGACTCACCCAAAAGTTGGTACTTGATTCTAACCTATAAATGAAGAGTGTATACATTTTCTATTATTTCAATTAAAATAGGCACAACAATGTAATATTAGGAATTACTTTTGATGTCAAACAAACGGACTCGGCTTCCCTCCTTGAGAGAAGCGTCCTATGCGTTTCCTTTGAAGGAGAGGCTTAATCTAAACTGTTCAGATTAAATTTAAACAGACGAAATTTAATATTTTTATTTTTACTTATATTTTTAAAATAAAAAATATAAAAATTGTAAAAAAATGTTAGTAAATATACTTATTAATTTGACAGTCTAAATTTAATATAAATGATCTAAATTTAATTTTTTAATAAATTTACTATTCTATTCAAAATATATTTACACTGTCCAGAATATATTTGAAAAGTTAATTTAATTTTTTTATATTAGATTTGAATCATTCATATTAAATTTGAACTGTCAGATTGATAAGTATATTTATTAAAATTTTTTATAATTTTTATTTTAAAAATATAAATAAAAAATAAAAATATTAAATTTAGACCATTCAAATTAAATCTGAAATCTGGACGGTCCAGATTTAACCTCTACCTCAAAGGAGAGGCAGAGGAGGTTTCTCTAGGTCAAAACAAAAATAGGGGTAAAATATCTTGACTTTATTTTACTTTAATTATTATAAAAATATCATTTAAATTGTAAATATACCATGCTAATTGTCAATGGCAGTGCAATAAATAATTAAAACTAACCATGTTTATTTTTTAATTTTAAATAGGACAAAGGATTAATTTTCACTCTATTTTTTTTATGTTTTATTTCTTCATGTGTATCAAGCAATAGTAACTTGTGCACAAAACTTCATAAGATAGAATATCAATTGTTGTTAGCCATATATGTCATTCAGTGAGGGGGATAAAAAGTAGAGAAAAATATTATATTACCTGATCCCCTAGTTTGGTTTTTCGCTTTCCCAAGCCATGTATAATATCTTTGATGCCAGGCTTTGAGTCACTTGTTTCTGCATGTATAAGCGATGAACACAGAATAATTTGTGTGAGTTATATATATATATATATATATTTGTGAGTTGTATATATAATCCAATCAGGAAAATTAAAGCTAGTGTTTATTAAATTTTAAGATGTTTCTAGTACCCAACCACCTTTTGAACATTATTGTTTCTAAATTGAGTCGACCGATTACTTGAATTATTAATTTTTTCATTTTTTAAAAATTTCAATTTTTTTTAGTTCATTATTTTATTATTATCAAAAAAATATAAAATATACTATTTCAAATTCTTAAAAATTTAAGAAAATCAAAAATTTTATAAAAATTTTAGGGTCTTAAAATTTAAAAATCAAGATTAAAATACATTTTAAATATTATTTTAATATGTTTTATAGATTCATAATAATAAAAATATAACAGCATAAATATTTTTTATTTTTATAGTAATGTTCTCATTGTCTCTCAATAAAAAATTCACTAAAAATTAATTAACATTTAATATAATTTATAGTTTTTTAAAAATTAAAATGACAGTATTCGGTCCAAGTTTGAAATTGACTGTGTTTAGCTCGAATTTTTCTAGCCTAATTGAGCTAGCCAGAATAAGCTCAAACATTAAAAATATATTATTTTGGTAAGTTCAATCTTAAATTTTTTCGTGCTGGCCCATTAAGTTTGGCTCAAATTATCAACTTTACATAACATGTGTATATAGCAAATATAAATTATATACTAACCTCAACCACTAGAATTTTTTGGCCTCAAGCACAAAATAGATAATAATCACTTAAAATAATGTAATATACTTGGAGGAAAAAAAATTAACAGATTAACTTTGGAGAAGAACAGACATAATAAACAACGGACCCTTTCATATCAGGATGAAAAGATTTGCATTAATTTTAGGAAAAATTAATCTTTTAATTCTTCAACTTTTAACTCACTTGTAACTCAGTCCCTCAATTATGACTCGCTGTAACTCAATACCTCAACTATAACTTGCTACGACTCAGTCTCTCAACTTTTGATTCACTTATAATTCAGTCCTTATTTTTTATTTTTTTTAAAAAATTCCTTATCAAATAAGAGAGATAAAAGAAATGCTCATATATTATTCTAAAATACCCTCCTCTTGCTCTTCGATGTGAGATATAAGTTAACGTGAAAAAAGATAATTAACAAAGGTTGAGGGACTAAATTATAAGTTATTCAAAAGTTGAGGGACTGAGTCATAAGCGAGTCATAGTTGAGGGACTGAGTTGCAGTGAGTGATAGTTGAGGGATTGAGTTACAAATAAATTAAAAGTTGAAGGACTAAAAGATTAATTTTTTCTTAATTTTAATGCAAATCTTAACAAGAAGAACAATAAAAATTTAAAAATTTTCAAGAAATGCAATTATTACCTCCCTTATCACGTGATCCCCTTTCCGACATGGAAATATGCCCTACACATTAGAGTTGTTTGGTCAAAAACAAAGCAAAACAAAAAATTGATGTTTCAAAAAGAACAAGAGAAAATAACAATCAAAGACCATTGGAATAAATTTATACTAGTTAGGGATCAATTATTGTCAAAACCCAATGGAAAATAAGCTCGAATGGACTGTTACATTGTTAATTTAGAATGAGTTGTCACTAAAACCCAAATGAATACTTGTTAATAAAAGAAAAATTAATTTTTTAGTCCTCCAACTTTTAATTCACTTGTAACTCAACCCCTCAACTATGACTCGCTGCAACTCAGTCCCTCAACCTATGACTCAGTCCCTCAACTTTTAAATAACTCATAATTTAGTTCCTCAACTTTTGTTAATTATCTTTTTTTATGTTAGCTTATATCTCACATTAAAGAGTAGGAGGAGGGTATTTTAGAATAATATATGAGCATTTCTTTTATCCCTCTTATTTGATAAGGAAATTTTTTTAAAAAAATTAAAAAATAAGGACTGAATTAGAAGTAAATCAAAAGTTGAGGGTCTGTGTAGCAGCAAGTTATAATTGAAGGACTGAGTTACTGCAAGTCATAGTTGAGGGACTGAGTTACAAGTAAATTAAAAGTTGAAGGACTCAGATTAATTTTTCCTAAAATACTAACCTGAATCAACAAATATCCATTCATGCTTTGATAACAAGTTATTCTTGATCGATATAAATTTGCTTCAGTAGTTCTTGATTGATATTTTTCCAAAAAAACAAAAAAAAAAGTACCACAAAAGAAAACAATTTATTTGAGCTCAAACAACACACTTCCTTTGATCCAAGTTGTAAGACATTCCCAACTATATTTTGCATCCCAATAAAATCAACTCCAACCATATCTAATGATCAATTGAATTAGAAAGAAATAATGAAATGTGAGAAGCAGATGATATTTCTCATGCTACATAAGAAACTTACATTAATAAATAGAAAAGTAAAATTGGAAGGATAATTTCTATAAATATGAACTATCCTATATTTTAAGTTAAGCTTAGCTGGAAAAAATATCTTACAATTTAGACTTAGATGGAGTTTATACCAAACAACCCGAGGTATCAATATAGAGTAACGGAGAAATCAAAGTTGGTGTTCGAAAATAGTTTTAGCTTATTATTATTAAACTAAATTTCACTAATACTGTGGTAAAAGAAAATTACACTAATATTTCTTGACATTAGACTAAATTACTCATGCTATCATTATTGTTTAAGAATCTAACTATCTTAAAAGGTAAACATTTTCATACCCCATTAATTATGCTAATATAGGTCCATCATGTGGTGACCATCTTTAAATTGATAAAAAGATCATTAAAAATTACGTTTGAAAGGAATACAAATTGTATCCTATAACTTTGCATATAAAATGATAACAAGGTCAAATACTTTACTCTTTTTTTTTTTTTAAGAAGAAATCATCAAATTTTTTTACCAAGGTTTCCGAAAAGTAATAAGCGATAAATTATTCACTTTGACTTTGTTAGCATGTAGTGTAACTCATATTTAAAATATTTGAAATGAATTTAACAGAAACTTTGCCTTTTGAATTAATAAGAGTCACAAATAACAAATCTAATGGTCAGAGGCATGCTTACGATTAATTCTCTGAGAAAAAATGAGTAAGAACAAAGAAATATAATATAATGAGTCCAATGTGAGTGATGTTTGTAAATATGAGAGACTCTTTCACTTAATATATTAGCCTTTTAGAATTGGCTTTCCCTTTGACTCATGCTCATTACATATAACCACCTAAATTTGTGTACAGTATAAGGTAAAGGACTAAAACTATCAAACATTAAAAGCATGCATCTTTTTGTTTTGAAAAATAAAAAAATTATTTAAATATATTTTTTATTATCTGTTCTGATAAGAAAAAGCTAAAAGTTGTTTTGAAAAGCAAAAAAACCCAACATCTCGTTGATCTTTTTATGTTTGGTTATGTTTTATTCTGCAAAATTAGAGAAAAGATAGAAAACCGTATGTTTTTATTAGACATGTCTTTCAAAATAACACTTCAAGGTTTGTTTCTCAAAATAACAATTCAAGACTCTTTTTTTTTTTTCAAAACTTGTTCTGAAAAATTCTATGAAGATTGTCTTAAAAACATAACAACAGAAAACAAAATTCAAACAAGTCCTAGTTCTCTTTACTTTTCTTCCTGCTCTGCCTGTTGTTTTCTCATTCAAGAATGTTCAGATCAAATTGAAAAGATTCAACTTTAATACAAAAGGTATGAGATGCGATTTCATTTCATTTCATTCAAAGAATAATATTTTCTTAAATATTGGAAAAACTATCGATGAACAATGATTTCTATGTTTGACTCCCACCCTCCATGCCGATTCTTCTAATCTCATATTATTCTCAAAATGAACAACGCTCAAGATTGAGAGTTAGATACACAAAATTTTGAAAACGAAATTTTCTCTCTATCAGTAAACTTTTAAACCTGGCAGAGAAAATAAAGTACCTTTTCAGCGAAGACGATAAGTTGGCACGAGTACGAATGACTTGCTCTCCGATGAAGATGATTGCAAAGCATGAAGAAATAAACTCTTATGTGGAAGCAACAATGCGGTGAACAAGTCAACACTCTGAAACTTAAATAAATTTTATTAGTTCTGTATATGAAGGCGAAGGGACCAACAAAATAAATAAATAAAAGAAAAAAAATAAAGCAAGTTGATTGTTGATGAGCGGTGACATTTAATTTGGATATATTTGATATGTATTCCTTAGGATCCTATGTATACATCACAGTCTAGAAAAAATTCATAATTTTTTTATGAATCAATTTAAATGTGAATCATTAATTATTTTTCCAATTTCATCCTTTTTACAGTTTTTAAAGTAAATTATGAATATGAATATATATGTATATATATATGAGAAAAATATTTTTAAAGATATATATTTAATAAAGGTAAACTGAATATTTTTGTGACTACGTCAATATCTTAATTACCTCATCAGTTTTGATGAAGTAGATTCAAGAGCATATAAAACATAAAGGAAGCTTCACCACGTTACATGATTCATTATATGATGGAATAATTTTATTTAAAAATCTTCAAGTCTATCGTCAAAGTTAAACAAATAATTTCGTCATGATGAAGACAAGCAAAAAAAGGCTACTAGAGATGATACTAATTACCTGTTGGCTGTGATGTTGATTCAAAAATTAGTGAGGATTCTCTCCAATTCCTTCCAATCAACTTCCTTTCTTTTCCTTTTCTAACCATTGAATTAAGATTTAGATGATTTACATTTAATCTCATCTAAAATATTATTATAACATTAAATTGTAAACAATATAAATAGTAAAATTAGAAATATTAAAATTTAATATTAACAATTAAAATATATAATAAAAATAAAATAAGATAAAATATTTTATAAGAGATCAAATTATTAAATATTAAGAAAACAAGGAGATTCCTTTGGAGGAAAAAAAACAAAATAAAACAAGGTGATTCTTGTCTCATCCAAGTGTGCCAGCTGTTAATCAAGGAGGTCATGAGACACGCTGAATTTTTATCAAGCTTTACGCTTAATTTAATTAATTTTTTATTAGATTTTTTTTAATTAAAAAATAAATAAATGAGTTGGATACCACGAGGAGTCGCTTGATATGATTGCTAACAATACGCCTTGATTTAATTAATTTTTATCAAGCTCTTCAAATTTATTTAGGACTAAAACTTATATATTTAATATATTTATATTAAATCAAAGCATGACATGTGAATTTTAATATATTAATTTAATTAATAATGAGAATTTATTATAGAAAAATAATCTATACAAGATTCATATATCTTGATTTAATTGAATACAAGAACCTTAAATATATAAGATTAAGTATATAAGTTTTTTCCATTTATTTAAACTCAATCTTAACATCTGATAAGAAAGATAAGAAAGTTTATACTTTCTTAATCAGAGGTCTTGTCTCTGGAGTTTGAGGTCTCTGAATGCAACACCATTTATTATAGAGTTTTGAAAAAATTTCAATAAGGGACCTTTGACTAAATATAACAATAATAATAATAAAAAGACCTCAGAACTTTTGAAATAATTACTGAAAGACCCATACGGAATTTTGTTTGAATTTGTGATAAAAATGTCAAAATTTGCTATAAAAATGATAAAATTGCCCTAATTTAAATGAACAACATAAATGATTTATTCGTTCTCATATTGTATATTGTTCATTTACTTATAGAATATTTTTTTTTCCTACTTCACTTATTTATAGACCTACTTTCATTTGATTTCATTCCAAGGTCATAAACAAATGAAGTAGATAAACAAACAACATTCCATATGTAAATAAACAACATATAGTATGTGAATGAACAAGTTATCTTATCATAAAACCAATGCTTAGAATGAAATCAAGTGAAACTAGGATTATAAACAAGTGAAGTGGGAAAATGAATAACATTTCATAAATAAATGAACAACATATAATATGAAAAAGAATAAGTCATTTATGTTGTTAAATAAGGGAAATTTTATCATTTCTGTCACAAAGTCAAAAGCAATTCCATATGGGTCCTTTAACGAAATTTCAGAAATTCAGGCGTCCTTTTTTATTACGTTTAATTAGGGGTCCCTCACTCAAATTTTCTCTAGAATTTTTGTCTAAAAAAGTCATTCCAACATGAATTATGTAATCTAGACTCTCGTTAAAGTCCGTCCACCTAGACATGAATCCCAAGTGCTTTATGAAAAAACTCAATCTTGGCCATCAGTTTATTAAACGCAAACTTCTCTCACTTGCAAATGGGTATAGTAGCGACTGATTTTATCCACAAACCCTAGAAAAGATAGCACCTTCCACTTGTTTCTTATTGTGGATTATAATATGTTATTGTCAATTAACTTATAGGGAAAATAACAAAAAAATCCTTCCAAAATATATAAATGACAAGTTGGTCCCTCGAAATGTCATAATTCCACTGAAGTACTTAAGGAGTTTTCTATCATTAATGAATTTATATAAATGATCAAATTGTCCTTGTTGAAAATAAATCTATTCATAAGTTTTGTTTATATAATCACAATTTTCTTTCTTATATTCACAATAATGGAATAACAAATCAGGAATTTATCATGCAAAGTTGTAATTTGACATTAAAAACAATTCAGAAGCCATTGCATTGTGAGGATGTATCACTAAGGGTGATGGACTTTGCATTAGAAAAAAACTTAAAATAATTTGAACAATTGAACTAAAGGTAGTGTCTAAAGAAGAAGGGGGTTGATGGAGGGATGATAATGGACAGTATAAGAGTTGTAGAAGAAAATAATATAAGGAATGTTTCCTTTCATAAAAAAGTTTGGCTAGAGGACATTATATGTAGAGATAGCTTAAGAAAGATGGATGTGTATTTGTTTGGTTCATGCTGAGAGGGAAATAAATATGAAGGTATTTATAACAGCCGATTGACAACATGAAGGGATCCAAGAAGTTTCAAGGGTAGGTAAGTAGTGCTCCGAGTTTTGCTAATCAAATCTGACTCTACTTTCTATTAAAAGGAATCGACGAAACTTGAAAGGCCTTTGAATTATGACAAATATAGTATGGTGTTGTTTTTTCTTTACCAAGAAAATATAGTGTGGTGTTTGAAATCTATGTGGGAAAATGGAAATACCTGTCTAAATACGTAACCATATAACAATGATGAAAATGCAAATCCACTCTTCTTTCACCTTAGCTCTTGAGAAAAATGGTCTCTATGGTTCACTTTCCCTTGTGACCACACTTTTTATGGTGAAGTTTTGTCGACTCTTCACTCTTGCTTTGCATTTGTAAAGAATTTAAAAGAATTTGAACAATTGAACTAAATGTCATGCTTCAAGAAGAAGGGGGTTGGTGGGGGGATGATAAACGACTGTGCAGGAGTTGTAGAGGAAAACAATATAAGGAATGTTTCTTATCCTAAAAAAAATTTAGCTAGAGGATATTAATTGTAAAGACAGCTTAAGAAATATGGATGTGTATCCATTTCGTTCATGTAGAGAGGGATATAAATGTGAAGGTGTTTTTAACAGTTGGTTGATGACGCGGAAGGATCCATGAAGTTTGAGGGGCAGGCGAGTAGTGCTCAGTGTTATGACAATTAAATCTGACTCCACTTTCTATTAAAATGAATCGATGAAACTTGAAAGGCCTTTGAATTATGGTGAATATAGTATGGTGTTGTTTTCTCCTTGACCAGTAAATAAAGTGTGGTGTTTGAAATCTATGTGGCAAAATGGAAATACTTCTCCTTGACCAGAATGATGAAAATGCAAATTCATTCTTCTTTCAGCTCAGCTCTTGAGAAATGGTCTCTATGGTTTGCTTTTCCTTGTGACCACACTTTTTGTGGTGAAGTTTTGTTGACTCTTCACTCTTGCTTTGCATTTGTAAAGAATTTAAAAGAATTTGAACAATTGAACTAAAGGTCATGCCTCACTAAGAAGGGGGTTGGTAGGGGGATGATAAATGACTGTGCAGTAATTGTAGAAGAAAACAATATAAGCAATGTTTCTTATCCTAAAAAAACTCCAGCTGGAGGACATTATTTGTAAAGACAGCTTAAGAAAAATAGATGTGTGTCTGTTTGGTTCATGTAGAGAGGGAAATAAATGTGAAGGTGTTTATAACAGTTGGTTGATGACGTGGAAGGATCCAAGAAGTTTGAGGGGCAGGCGAGTAGTACTCAGTGTTATGACAATTAAATCTGACTCCACTTTCTATTAAAATGAATCGACGAAACTTGAAAGGCCTTTGAATTATGATAAATATAGTATGGTGTTGTTTTCAACTTGACCAGTAAATATAGTGTAGTATTTGAAATCTATATGGGTACTGTCCAAATACGTAGCCATATAAGAATGATGAAAATGCAAATTCACTATTCTTTCAGCTCAGCTCTTGGGACATGGTCTCTATGGTTCACTTTCCCTTGTGACCAAACTTTTTGTGGTGAAGTTTTGTCGACTCTTCACTCTTGCTTTACATTTGTAAAGAATTTAAACAAATTTGAACAATTGAACTAAAAGTCTTGCCTAAAGAAGAAGGGGGTTGGTGGGGGATGGTAATAGACTGTGCAAGAGTTGTAGAAGAAAACAATATAAGGAATGTTTCTTATCTTAAAAAAACTTTGGCTAGACGAGATTATATGCAAAGACAGCTTAAAAAAGATAGATGTGTATCTGTTTAGTTCATGTAGAAAGGGAAATAAATGTGGAAGTATTTATAACAGTTGGTTTATGACGTGGAAGGATCCAAGAAGTTTGAGAGGCAGGGGAGTAGTGCTTAGTGTTATGACAATTAAATCTGACTCCACTTTCTATTAAAATAAATCGACGAAACTTGAAAGGCCTTTGAATTATGATAAATATAGTATGGTGTTGTTTTCAACTTGACCAGTAAATATAGTGTGGTGTTTGAAATCTATGTGGAAAAATGAAAATACTTGTCCAAATACACAACCATATAAAAATGATGAAAATGCAAATTTACTCTTCTTTCAGCTCAGCTCTTGAGTAATGGTCCCTATGATTCGCTTTCCTTTGTGACTTTAGATTTTGTGGTGAGGTTTTGTTGATTGTTCA